CAAAAAAAAATTTTTTTTCTTTAAAATGCTAGCTCCGTGGCCCGTGCCCGTGGGGCTTCTCAAGGAAGCAGGGTGGGCAGCTTAAAGACACAGGTGGTAGATATGTGCCTCTCTTGTATCACCAGGAAGTGCCTTAGCAGGTGCACAGATGACCCTGCTTTATCCAGCACCACCTAAGTCACCACCATCCAAGCAGCTCCTGCCATGTGGACCTTTCTCGGCAGCTGTCCCAATTGCCAGCATACCACAGTCCACAGTGGCAAACAGATGTGCCTGCATGCAGAAGGCACTGACTGAACATGAGCTGTTCCATCTGCCAGTCTCTGCACTGAGGACTATGCATCCTCATCCTACGCACAGTATACCTCACTAATGCAACCTTTCAGTGAATCTCATGGATGGAGAGACACACTTGCTCTAGCACCTGTTAAAACAAGAAGATGGCTCCTGGGACACAGGGACTTAATCTCTTTCTTTTAATCAAAACTTCTTTCAAAGACTTGAGTCTTGTTTTTCCCCTAGTTTCAAAAACTGTCTATGGAGCGCTTCTCTCCTTTAAAAAATTTGCTATCAGGGGTAGCGCCTGTGGCTCAAAAGGGTGGGGCACTGGCCCCGTATGTCGGAGGTGGCGGGTTCAAACCCAGCCCCAGCCAAAAAAAATTTCATATCTATTTTCTTCAGCAATTTATAATTGCCATGCAGCACCAGAAACAAAGGAGGCCAAGATCCCTTCCCCACCAGCTTAAAACACCTCAGGGTCAGAAGCCAGGGTCCTCCTCATTCCTTGTCCCTAGGGACAAGGGAAGCGAGGGACCCAAGGGTAGCGAACAGAACATCACCATGACATTGGATAGTGTGATTGGAATACAAAGCAAACCTTCTAAAGTCAGACAGACCAGTTTATGCTAAGCTCTACTGTTTACTAACTATGTGACCTTTGTCAACTTAGTAACTCTGCTCTCAGCTGCTCTATCTGTAAAGTGGAAATAACTGGAATCCTTCTTGTAAGTTTGTTATAAAAATCAAATGACATGGCTCGGCGCCTATAGCTCAACCGGCTAAGGCGCC